CAATATCCTCCGAGCGGTGGTTTCTTAATTTAAAACTTTGCAGGAAAACGATTTCCTCTTTCTCAGGCTTAAAATTTAGTCATACTCTACTCACATACCATTCTTACAATCTATCTCTAGGACATACCTCTATAGATTATCCGTTCTAATGAAATTATTTGCGATGTATCCCATATTCTTGTTCATTATCCTTCTCTTGTCCTTCAACGCCATTCTCCCTGTGCTTCAATAAATTCCAATAATGTGTCCCTTTTCATGTTCAATCGATTTTTTCCTAACAGTTAACTCCCATCATCCTATCAACCTTTTCCTTCTTCAACTAGACCGGTTTTTTTAATTTAATGCACGGATTGTGATTGTTATGTTTGTTTTTTTTTTTGTTTTACCGAACAATTTTAATCATTGATTCACTGTGTGCACATTGATTTATTATCGTAGATTATTGTTTTTGAAAAGTTTCAATAGGAAAATATACGGATGCGTATTTTCACGGCCAACAGAACGATATTATTTTGAAATTATTATCGAGAATAACTACTACGAATGCAGTATACTATACCTAATTGTTGTTTTTAATATCTGTCGTGATTTTCCAATAAAAACGTACATAAACATAAGTACATAATGCGGATTTACGGTGTTAAGCTCTATACATTTATACAGTTATAAATGCGAATTCGGTTTCCAACTACGTACATTGCGTCCTCGTGCATTTCTACAATATATTATTATTGTTGTTACATCACAACTCGAATATAATATTATAATAACAAGTGGCATCGTTAAATATTATTGTACGACCATAATAATCGTGTAAAAAATGTTACAATTAATTATGATTTAATAATATTTTCCGTATAATATTATTATTAATATTAATTGAAAATAATGTAACCGTTTTTTTTTTTTTTTTTTTTTTATAATCTGCGATCTGACAAATTACACTGGTACACGAGATTTTTTTTTTACCGTTTAGCTAAATACGTGATTTGTGAATACAGTATTTCCGCCCGACTGCAGCGTACCACTATACACACGAGAGTGTTATGAGAACTTAAAATGTGTTTTGATTATTATAATAAATGTTAAAAATAAATTCGCTAAACGCAGGTACCTACCTATAAAGCTGATTTGTTTAACGACGTCGTCGTGCGCGCTTAATATTATGTACGGACGGACGGCGCGGCGTACCAATAAAATACAATATTATCATTTCCATAAGGAACTAAATATGCCAAAACCTAGTCGATAATATTCATAATTAATATTATTATAATATACGAAATGGAAAAACATTTTTTACGGTTATTTTTTTTTCCGTCGGGGTTTAAATTTCAAAGGATTACGGTTATAAAATCGTAATAAATAGGCGTAATAATACGTATTTTACCGTCATATCGTTTCGCATAATATTATCTTAAATGACCGCGCTCGAATATAATAAAAACGGACGTTTTCATAAAAAAAAAAAAACACGGAGCAAACAGGATAAGCGCGCGAGATTTTCCACATTTTCAAAGTATTTAAAAAAAAAAAAAAAAAAAAATGTCAAATACGGCGAATTGTTTTTAAATATTTAACTCTAACATTAAAATCTAATCCTTTAGATTTTGTACATTGGCACTAAAAGAGGAAGAAACTTTGGAGGATGTTCTCCATCCATCGAAAACTTATCTAAGCTCCTTCCAAATACAGTCCTCGTCGAGTAAATAATGAGTGTACAATATAAACGTAACGGGGAATTCAGCCCTCTCCAAAAATATTTAGTTTGTGTCTACAGTTTTTGTGTAAATGAGGTTTGATTTCAAAAATCATCGTCTCCCCGGTCAAGAGGACCTGCGCACGCTTATGGACATTTTTTCCGTGTACATACGAAATTTAATATCACATTTATTGACCCAAAAAAAAAAATGATCGATATGTGTTTCAACTCGTTCAGTATCTTTCGTTGAAAAATGACGAGAAACCTGAGATTCGGTTGTTTAGAAAATGTATATCGATAGAAAAATCAGTGAAGAGAAGCGGTTGGGCAAGTTAATGAACAAAATATTAACTGAATAACTCAAGTCGAGTTAGTTTTTCGTACACGTCTTGTTATTTTTGTCAAAGTGAAAACGATCACGATTGTATAGAACCTGTGACTTTTCGCAAACAAGAATGATCAATATAAAACACAGGGGGTCATGAATATATTATTTACAACGATGGTGCCGGTATGAATTCGGTTTCTCTTCCCCCCCCCCAAAAAAAAATCCAATTAATACTTAACGTGATACAGTTCAAAATCAAATCTTTATTTATGAACGATAAGTTAATAGTTAAGTCGATTTAAAAATCAGCGGTTCAAAGCTAACGGTTCAAAGTTAAAATTAACACGATATATTTTTCTTCTTATTCCGCTTATTCGGTCAACTGGCTATGATATTGCCTTCCTACAAATTTTCTTCATTCCTCTGTGTCTTCTATTTTCCTTTTAATATCCGTATATCTGTATATTTTAGACCCGTTTCACCATATATTGAAGGTATAAAGTTTGTTCTAGGTCGTCCTCGTCCATTTTCCCTCTAATATAACTTCTTCGAGAACCCGTTGTAATTTCCTCACTTTATTAATGTATACAAATATTATTCTTTATTGATTCACTCGTAATACTTGATCATTTTTGATACTCTATCCGTTCAATTAATCCAGTGCGTGCGTCGATAATTTTATCGATTCTTCTTCATTTTTGTTACGTGTCCGTGTCTCTCTTATACTGCAGTACGTCTTCAACATTATTTTTTTGCACGTAATGTTTATTTTCTTTGTTAGTAGAACGATTTTTTTTTCTTTCTTCGTTTTATACCCTCGCTCGAGACGACTTCGCAAAATACCTGTAATTCAAACGAAAAGCGTATTGCACATAATATGTTTTACTGTGCATTTTATTGTTGGTTTCTCAGTGAAATCGTCGTGATTTCATAAGAATTTCGGTCTACTTGATTCCGAGTTTTGTCCGTCGGCTTTTTATGTTTTGTAAGCGTAAAGCAATATATTAATAATAATTATAATAAACTAATTCCGGGTGATAATATTCAAATATGACACGCGTAATCCTCTTGTCGCGCAATACATAGTCGTACATATATATGTTCACCTTCACGGATAATCCTCTGTCGATGTCGTCTCCTCCGTTTCGTATATATGTGGAAACATCATAATACGTCGGAAAGCGTCCCGCGGAGGCGCGCGTCACCAATCCGACGATTATTTTCGAGCCGCGTACACTGCAGAGATCTACAATCGGTTTTTTGTTTTTTTTTTTTTCTTACGGTCAATTCCAAATCGGAGATAAGCCGATCGCACCACCTCAACCCTCCATCCCCTCACCCCCCCCCACATCGTAGGCCCGATATCGACTTTTATTGTAATAAAAAACAATGGCGTCACCGCGGTCGCCGGCCCGACAACGAGCAGACGACAGTTTATGAATAATATTAATGTTATTATTATTATCGTAACGTCCCGCGCATAAACAATAATAACGCGCACAACGGCCGCGAATGACAATATGAAATTTTTGCATAAAAGGATCCGTTATAATACTATCGTTATTATTATTATCATTATTGTCATTATATTCTTTAGATAGGTATATTATTATTGTACGTATTATGTATAGGTATGGTGGCTCACGATACGCACATGCGCGGCCGCAAATCTACATCACTGACCTACCTATCTAAAACGGTTGTTTTTTTTTTTTCAGTTCGCCGGCACACTGCGGACCCGGCAAAACGGCAAAACGGAATTTAAACCATCAGCATCCAGCGCGTGTTACGACGGCGACGGTTCATCACAATACTATACGCACACGGGATATCCGTTCCGAGAATCCATAAACGTCCGAGAGCGTTTTAACGACACTCTTGACCGCGGTGAAAACCGCATAATTTTATAATAACCCATCACTCTGTACTACATATATTATGTAGGGATATATAATATTGTACAGTATTTCCCATTCGTCTTTTCGAAAAAAAAAAAACCATAATATACATATACATATACGCGTTACGGACGATCGTAATATTAATAGGTGCGGGTATATTATTATGTTTTTACTGTATGTTATTATGAGTTCTAACTATATAATAAACAACATTGTGTAGGTATACGGAAGAAGGAAAAATGTTTACGCGCGCGCCGTGGTGTAACGTACGGGAAACACGTAAAGGTTTAAAATTTTCTTGTAAAAAAAAAAATTACATAGACGGGTACATTTTAAACGAGAAAGTATCGATTAGTACCCATTATAGGTTGTTAAACGTTATGACGGTTTCAACGTGACCGCGAACACGCGTTAACCAAGATAAAACCTATTGAAAATAACCATACTGTAAGTACTCGTACAACGTCGCTTGGGTAAACTGCAACATATACAGCGCGTATCTCGAAATTCGAGAAAATGTGATTATTATCGGCTGGCCGTCCCGCCCGACGTTGCTCGCGCCAAAAGAAACAACAACAATTTTGTCTCGTTTGGTTTTTTTTTAAATATCATTCGTATCATTCATTCAATTCGATTTTCGTACTAAAAATACCAATAACCCCGCGTCACTCTCCATTCTGAGCAATGGGAGCTTGAATCCGGGGGAATAGTAGCCGATATTTTTTTCTGGTCTAGAGCTACGTGTTAAGCAATGTTTCAGCTCAATCGGTTCAGTGGTTTGGGCGAGAAAGGCGGGTAACCGATATACGTCCATCCATCTAAACAAACTTTCGCTTTTATAATATCGATAGGATATCAATGAAACTATTTTTTTTTTCGTTTGGCTCTCTAGCCTATTAGTGGTTGCACTGTATATCACAAAACCGATAACATCATTTGTATCGAAACCTCGTTTCAACATAACGCCGTATCTCAGGCTCTCAGCCTTCAATAACATGTCAACAGTTGCATTATTTTTCTTTCACGTTATTCGTGCGAAATATTTGAATTCAACATTACCAGTATATAACTCGGCGGTATATTACAAATTATTAACATTTAATAATTTTGTAAAATCACGTAAAATAACACAAAATGGAATTCGCACTATAAAACCAACAAAGTACATAAAGACTTGAAGACTTGAGAATTTGGATATTATTGGCATTGTTTTTTCTGACACGACTTCGTTGAACTCATTAGCGTCCTTTGAATCGTGATCGAAAATTTCTAAAACCTGTTAAGAAATAAACCACTAATCAAAAAACGAATAAACATCAACATTTATTGTGCAGGTATATTATTTCAATAATATTTTGAGATTACAAAATAAATTATGTTATAATAATAATAGGTAGTTAAATTAGTGTTTAATCGATTGTTAGCGAACACAATCAATCTTTTTGATTAGGTATATATTTCGAGGACCTTCGACTCGTTACAATATTATAAGTCGCTTTGAACACGTGCTCAAAACGCAGGTAAATTAAACACAACCGTATCGAACGCATTCGTCTTACTTGTGATTACAAACCTGCAGAACGAATAATAATAGACAGACCGATGTTTAACGTTTCAGTTCAAAGGCTAAACGCGCGCACGGTGGTGGGGTCATTGCTAGACGAATAGAATAAACTAAAGATTTATCATATATCTATCGTACCATTCGTACCTCTTAAAAAAAACACACACACAAAGTTCGTTACACAATCTAATTGTTAAAATTGTTTTCTTCAATCCAAATTTCGATACATATACAGTGGAATCCGATTATTAGGAACACGGATTATTGATACAATCATGTTATTGAAACAAAATGTCTAGGGACGAACCGGCCGGATATTAAAACATACGGCGTACAGCGTATCGATAATGAATTCCACTTGATCAATTAATTTCGTTTACTTTTATTGTTCTTTATCGTGAGTACAGTACCTACTAAGCTCTTTACTGTTATTTTTTTAGTTCGGCTTCAGTACGCGTACGTAAAGAGGTGGTTAGTGTTTCGGCTTTTAGCAACGTTATTCTTATAAAAGCATGGTCATCAAATTATTCGAAGAAAAAAAAAACAGACGTCGATACATAAATATTTTACATGAAAAATAAAATAGTTTATTATTTTTATAATAGATATATTTTTATTAAACATACATTTTTTTTTTTTTCATAGCAAATAAAACCAATCGCTTGTTAGAAACAATCGGTTAACTGATACATTTCATCTTGGTCTAAAAGCGTTCCCAATAAGCGGCTTCTACTGTACTTTATACACAGTTTGCCCGTGTTATTTATGCAAGTCCACCGAGAAAACCCGTTAATTTACCAATTCGATTTATACGTTCTGGAATGCGTTCGGAAAATTAACATATTATAAGGTGACTGCGGCCCGAGAAAACGAAATCGACTCCACAACGACCAAAATAACCACCCTCCAATAACGTGGAGTTATTGTCTTCGGGTGAATTTTCGACACCCCTGAAAAGGTCCGTCGAAAGTACCGTTGCCGGGCCGAAATTTCGTAGTAACGCGGTCGTGTGTTATTCGTTCGAATTGCGGCGGCGGCGGTGACGGCGGTGGCGATCCGGGTCGTTTCTCGCGAACGCGCGACGACCGCGGTGTTGTTGGCGGCGGACGCGGTGAACGGAAGGCGGCGGCGGCGGCGGCGCGCGAAAAGGCGGTGGAAAAACGTCCGCGTAGGAGGGAAGCCGCGCTCGCGGCAATACTCGTTACGCGATAATAATAATAATAATAACAATAATAATGACAATATCGTATAAAAAAAAAAAAAAATGGCTAAGTAAAAACCCGTGTACATTTTCGTGTACCCGTCGTCGCCGCGGCCCGTACCCGCCGCGGACCGCGCGACGAAACGATACGCGTGTAAAACACGCGCGCGGGAGGATACGCGCGCGCGCCCGCTCGTTCCGACACGCGAATTATACGCGGCAACCGGAGTACCGCGTACCGGTACGCGGCGGCGGCGGTCGTATATCACTGGCGCGCACGTACCGTCGTGTTACCGAGCGCGCGTCCGGTGTACACCGGGTACAACACGCGGGTACACAGCGTCGCGCACGTCACGGCATACGCGATACCGTAACATACTCTGCTGTGTATAGTACCGTGTATATAATATCATTATAACGTACCTGCAGTGTAATAGTCGGTGGTAGTGCGGCATTAGTGGCGCGGGTTGTAAGGCGGCCCGCGTGGTTTATTGACGCGTCGCAGGATTCTTGTCGCGTTGTGTTGTGGTTTTTTTTTTTTTTTTTTTCTCTTTCCATTATTTCTTTTCCGGAGTAACGGGGCCGGGCCGGGCGTGGGCACGGCCGACCGGAATTAATATCGCGATCGACGGCTATAAATCATGCGACTACCGCGCGCGCGCGCGCTCTCCGCAACGGCCGGCGGTATATAAATGTTATTATACGGCCGGTAACGCGTATAATAATAATAATAATAATAATAATAATAATAATAATATATCGCGTACAGCCCGGGATAACATTATACCGTATCGTTTCTCGGGCCGCCGCCGCCGCTGCCGCCGTTGTACCGGGCCCCCCCGAACAATTAGTCGCCAATACGCGCGAAACGACATCCGCGTGTGTACACGAGCGCGCGCGCGCCGAACGCACCGCGACAAAAGCCGACACGGTACCGAAGTACGCGCGCGAGCACGTAATAAAATATACGTGTACGTACCTGGGGGCACGACGTCCCGCTCGCGCGCAACACGTTTCGCGCTCGTTCGTTTTAAATACGCGACGCGTTTGGTTTTTTTTATTTTCGCCGCCCCCCCCCCCCTCCGTCACCGCTCCCGACGGAATGTTACGTTTTACGTACACGAGTTCTCGCGCTATCGGCGCGGTGTTATTTCCCGGACGCAGGCCGTATTATACGGTCATATTATAACCGTTGATTATAAATAACCACGATATTTACTATCGCGGGCGACGCGCGATGGCCGAGCAACAGACGTGTCGACCGATCCCCGGATTCGGTTTCGATCCGTTTGATCCGCGTTCCCGGAGCCAATCAAAGAATTAAATTGAATCGGCTACGCGACGCGCCGCCATCAATGCGCGTACATCGAATTTCAGCCGTGAATCGTACTACATCAGCGGTAGTATAATAAATAACAGCCACGAGCGGTCGTTCGAAAATAAACCGATTTTTCATTCGGATCTTCATGATCCGTAATTTCAATCCGATATTGATACACTCATTATTCGGATCGGTACTTTCAATCCGGGTTCGGCGCTCAGCACTGGTGGGTATTATACGAGTATTTCAGTTTTTGGACGTCTGCCGCGGTGAAATGTAACGATATAACCATATTGTAATTAGGATGGCGTTAGCGAAAAAAGGTGTGTATAAGTCGAATTGTCGATAAGTCACACATTTCAAGAGACCAAACGCGTTGAATAGTTTACTACTGCGCGTTTGTATGGATTTTGATTAAACACACATGATAATTGCATTATATTAAAAGAAGGTAAACGCATCACCAGTCAGCACCACCAATAGATTCGTCATGCCAATTATTACAAAACCGACGTGTAATGTAAAATTTGACAAAATGTGACTTATACAGTTTTTCTCGAGTTCAGAGTTCGGATGTCGTCGCGCGTAATAGCCCTAGAGCGTAGCGGTCCGAAAATAATGCACTGCACATATTATGGATAAATGATAACGGTGCGAAAACTTATTATCTGTACCAATTTAAATGTGCAATATTAAACAAAATTATGTATTCAATTTTAAAATTGCTTCGTGTGTTTGAAACGAGTGGAAAATAAACTACGATTTGGTGACAAAAAACAAGTCGATGTAGTATCGTCTGCGACTCATAACAATGCGATAAAAACAGCTCACATCACAGTGAGTTTGCATAGTACATTTGCTAAAAACAAAAAAAAATAGATGGAGATACTTCGCACGTGGGTGGGCCACTGTTGTAGGTGAGAAGTTGAGAAGTAGAGAGGAAATTTAATGTATATCTGTAATTCCGTACGGAACGATTAACCGTTGCTAACGAAAAATGATTTAAACAAAAAAAAAAAAACGGAGTTCAGTTAATAGTGTTGCTTTGTCAACAATATATAGGTCCCATTATAGTAAAATAATTACATATGCATCATCATACATTTTCTTTAATATTAATTGTTTAATAACATTGTATCTATTTTCCCGTTTTTACACGGTTTTTTCCATTTATTGGGAAAACACCTGGGAATATCAAAAAATTACGTCCCAAAAGTACCACCCCTGAAAAATTCTATTTCAGAAAAACTGCTTGATACTTTGGAGCAAGATTTCTGGTAGAAATTTTGTACATAGTATAAAATAGAAACATCTTTGGAAAACCAATACATTCTTCGCTACGCTCAGAATTTAAAAATGTCCAAACATGGATTTATACACATAGTATATTAAACGAATGTTTAGGCTCACGTAGGGTTGTGTAGCTATGCTCCCACAATCTCTTTTACACTACTCTTACAATAGTCAACTACACCTTTCTTTTATAATTTCGTACATACAAATTTATCATAACTCTTTTAATATTATTTTTCGTACACATGCGTAGTGTCTGTAGGAAACTTATAATTTCTTCTGTTCACTAATTATGAAATACATGGATAAAATACTTAGTCGTCACTATGAAAAAGCTCATTGGATTTTTTCGGGGGTACTAATTTTAAATTTAAGAGGCACTAGAAATCCCTTATCACCCCCTAGTTTTGCCTATGAGTACATCCCGTGTATTTTGTCTAATCGCTGACTTAATTTTCATTTAGGAGCACTTCCCATGCTATACGGATTTTATATATAAAAGCACGATATTGATTTAAAATTTGCAAAAGTACCCGACCGAGGTTTATCGTTATATGATTTCTACTGGCGATTTTACGTAGTCGGTTCGATAATTTACCATACTTTTTTTCATTAAATTACACACAAAAAAAAAAAAAAAACCACGGGTCAAGTAAAACTCGAGTATACAATAATTTATCGTAACGCAACTAAAAATTATATAAGTAGGTATGCGTACACATTAAAACGAGTAAATTATACTATCGAGGGTTTTTTTTTTTTTTTTTTTACAAGCTTATTTGCATTGTACATAATATTCTTTGAAACTATCAATGAGAAATCGTGGTCGTGCATACGTAATATTAGTAATTGTAACGTATATCAATAACGATAGCAGTACTGCAGTTAATCGTGTTGCATATCTTAAGAGTTTAAATAGGTAGTAGGTAGGTGTTGTTAAAGCGGTATTTTTATAATTTAATTATAAAACGTATTATACATGACGTATAAATAATAGTTGTAGGCTGCAGGTGCATAGCCGGCCGGACTTATGATTTATTTTTTTGATTTTTTAATCGATTAAAAGACGATATTGAATATTTTTAAAGAATTAACGAAAATAAAGAAATAAATAAATATATTTTAATTTGTTATTTTACTGGCGCGTTCGGAGTCAGAGATACTAATTGAATCGGATGGACAGATAGAAAAATGTATGTCGAGGTGCTAATCCAGATCATAGAAGTACAACGTATAATAACTGCAATAAAATAAAAAGACAATAGGAAATGATAGGCCATGGTCTACGTCATGGGTAAGAACTTCATCGCATAATAATTTAAAGAACCGTAGATGGACGGTAAACTGCTCGATTGCTGAAACTGTTCAAGAGCAAGGAATATATTCGTATACCACAGTTGAAAAAGGATGTAGAAGTTAATACGTCGGACTAAAACGGCTTGTAGAGGATCAAGAAGAATGAACGACTAAGTTATACGCCGTAATTCAATAATGGTCTTTTTTTCGAAAAAACAGTACTTCGTGGAAAATTTGATATTGACTGCAGATATTATTTATTTATTTTGATTATTGAACATCGGGTATGATGACAAGAATATGCTTAAGAACAATGCATATTAGTACAAACAGCCATGAGATCCAAGAATGGGTAGTGTTAAGTGCTGTAATATGTTTATGGTTGAATTTAAATTTTTTAAACAAAAACTTACGATTTCGTTATTTTTTTTATATCCTATCACCGATTGGCGGTACGAATGTGCTGCTTATAAAAATCTTTCCAATAGTCGTGTCAAGACGTTTATAGTTGAAATATCATTAACATTCCAAAAAATGTTTTCGTTTATTGATTCGGTTAGTTTTTTTTTTCGCTTAAATTTACCGACTGAAAATTCAAGCAAATAGAAGCTATACGCGATTTTCGTTATTTCTTTGTAATAATAATATTGTTTCAAACTCTGGAAACATTTTGATGCGAATGATCTGTTGTCTTATGTAGTATCGATAATGAGTTTAATTGTTTGTGACAAGCTGTCCCGGACACGACCGATGAAGTTCAACTTTGGTCGTTTCCGCGTCCTATTAAATCGAAACTTCCGTATAACAATCAAAATCGCCGGAAATTCGCGAATCCGAGTGTTGCCCGTGGCATCCATGTAATAACCGCAAACACTATATTGTTACGTGCGTTTTGCGATTCATTTCGAAACGAACCGTGATAATCGTTTTTCATCAGATCAAAAAACATGTGGCAGTAAAACGATAGTAAAAAAAACAACACGTTTGTATATTATTGGACGGAGCTAAATGTTCGCGTATTATACGAGTTTTGTTACGATGATATTATAAAATTATATTAATCGTATTCGTTATTTATTGTATAAATGTTCGAGGTGTTTTTCATGTTACGTGAAAAATTATACATAAAAACATCGATATTGTTATTAAATTTAATTCATTATAATTCGATAATTGCAATAAATCGGAGATATCAATAATTTACCGTTTTTTTTTTTTTTTTTTTTTTTTTATACTAGGTTATTGAGTTCATAATTATTATTATTTACACTGTAATACGGTCGATGTAAAAAAAAAAAAAGAAAAAATTGTTCGTACAAATTGCGTTTACCTATAAAAACGTACGTATTACCCGGCGAATAATCAATGTCCATTCAACGTCTCCGGAGTGTGTACGACCAGTCCGGAACATTGTTTGATACGTACCGGGTACCTGTTGTGTGTACTATAACCTAACCAAAGCCGTTTTTCTTGGCCAACAGCCACGCGCGCGCGCGCTCGCTCTCGTATAAATTATTAGGCTCATGACAATTTAGCCTTATCGAAATGACACGTGGACGATACACCCCGTATTTTAATTAAAATATATACAAATAAACTTAAGTGCACTTTTATTATAACAACCGCCGCCGCCGCCACCGCGGAGTACAGTCTTTATGTAAATATTTCGTTTAATAATCGAATTAAATTATACACAATAACGTATAATACGTGCGATTTTTTTTTTTTTTTTTTTTTTATACAGAAATTATTAAAACGACTGGACC